GTTCTACTTGTTAACTTTATTAGATCCTAATTTGCAGTACGTGGTTTGGGTAATGTTGAGCGACGTTGGAGACAGTGGCCGCTCATAGCAACCCCTAACTGGTACCTGCCTAGCAAAATCTACCCTATACATTATATAGGAACGTAAGACTCGGCTCACTTCAGCCAAAGATTCCCTTCTGAGGGACAAAGACCTAAAAGTTAGTTGCTTTAACACCAAATTTAGATGCCTAAGTGTTTTATTGGATCTGGCCCTAGGGCATCAGATTAGAATTTTCTGTCTGCATCAATTTATATTTTTTTAGATTGACACCAACAGCAAATGAAGCCTGAATGTCATGCTTACATTTTAAATTGAATATGTTATTTGAGGTGTTATGGGAAGGACACTCTCTTGTTGAAAATGTACATGCTGTTTTCTATAACAAAATATAAAATATTCACCGTGTTCACAAAAGAAGCTAAACCGTTTCTTTCAGAAAAGCTTTTAAAGTATGATATTAATGGAAATTTCTTAAGTAATTTGCAGATAATCAACAATAACTGCTTCTTGGCTACTGTGATTGCAGTAATTAAGGTATAACTTTATCAAATCCACATATTAAAAAGTCCCAGTCTTTCCCTCTATTTTATGTCTCCCTTATAAAATAGAATATTAAAATTCCAAAATATCCTTAGTGCAAAATGGAAAATAATTTAAGTATTCCAAAGTTATGATTAGAATTGTACTTTCCTGTTAGCAGTCATGCATCAAAAAGGGAACTAATGATAAATATGTCATCCTATATAATTAGATATTCATTCTGCATTATCAGCAGTAAATTCTTTTAAAATCTGTACATACTGTAAATATATATATCGAGCATGCTTATTCACCTTAATAAATATAGAAACACACATGACTATGTTTTTATAAATATGAAAGATTCAAAGGAATTTTTAGTACCAACAAATATTCTCTTCTAACTGAGCTGTCCTCTAGCAAAGTCAGCAAATAAATGATCTGGAATTTGCTTAAATTCTGTTTCTGGTCTATGTTATGTTTTTAGTTAGTTCTCTGAGAAAGCCCCTTTTTAAAGAGAGTTGTTACCAGTTTACTTACAGAGGAATTTTCATTCACAGTTCTGCTGTCCAACTGTTTGTGCAAACATACTTTAGCCATTCATTTTCATTTGTTTATACATGCATACACACAGAGATACTTATACGATATGTTTATTTTACTGAATATTCCATTTTAAGGTAACAAGAAGAATATAAACAGACCTTGATGAGTATCTATATGCCAATATATTTACAGTTAACATGTTTCAGGTCTACATTCTCACTTCGCTTGTTATGTTTTACATATTAAATCTTAATATATTAGTTTGTAATTCCTTAAGATACAGAGTTCAGGCTATGTATTTATACATCATCTAGCGCATCGTGAAAGTGATCTTGATTTGAGCTTTAAATACTCCTCAAACCTTAAACAGATAGTAGTCAAATTTATAACCTATGACAGATAATATAAAGATCCACTAAATGAAAGGCTCGAGAAAGCTGGTATCACCAAAATAACCTTTAGACACGCTGGTTGTTGGTGTGTCTTTTCACTAAGCTCAAGAGGCTCAAGAATGCTTAAAGTACATTAAAAGCTATTACAGTTAATGGACTACAAAGGTGAAAAATGAAATTGCAAGTTTTTTCTTAATG